AGAGGCCCCGAGATGACACGCTGGCCAAGGTCACCCTTGTGCCTGGCTTTGCTTATTCTTCTTTGCAGCTCTCGTCCCTGCAGTCACCTTCTGTGGTTGCAGGTCCCAGGACAGTCTGCTCTGTTGACTTCTCCACCCCCACCCCACTCTGCCTCTAGATCAGTGTTTGGCACACGATAAGCGCTCGGTAATTAGATATGGAAAGGATGAATGAGAGCCAGAAGAAGGAACCAGGGAGTGGCGGGGCTTGGAGGCGGAGTTGCGGAGCCCAACCACCTGGCTTTGGGTATCAGCTTTGCCACACGCTGGCTCTGGCACTTGGGCAAATTACCTACCATCTCAGGGCGCCAGTTTCCCATCTGCCCAGTGGGAATCATAGTGCAGCGCCTGTTTCGTGGAGTTGTTGTGAGAACTCAATAACAACACTTGCAGAGCTACTGGAACAGAGCTTGGTCATAACAAACCTCAGGATGCATTTGAAAGCTTAGGAAAAACAAATGAATGATCATCCTGGCTCTAAATCTATATCACGGCATGTAGAACTTTATAACTTCCCAACGATCGACATGTTCGTGATTTTATTTTATCTTTAGATCATCCTGTGACAGAAGCAAGAAGTAGCGATTACCAAAATTTTCAGGGGAGCCAGTGGAGACCAGCGATGGTCTTGGCTCAGGGGCACACAGAGGCTTGATGAAGATCATCTGACTTCAACTCCGTGACCGTGTGGGGCCCCACAGGTGCGTCCCCCGGACTACTGAAGCAGGAGTCCGTGTGTGTGTGTGTGTGTGTGTGTGTGTGTGTGTGTGTGTGTATGTGTATGTACATTAGTCTCGGCATCTAGAAAGCTGTTCAATTTCCTCTCATCATGGGCTGCCACTCATCCGATTTGAGGCAAATCTTTCTGGAGGCTTTGAGGAGGAGGAGGAAAACTACAGATCCCACAGAGACCCATAGGTCATAGGCAGAAATGTCTGGGATGTTCCTGCTGACCCTCAACCTCTTCCCTCTCTGTTGTTTACACCAGCAACTGTCGTGGACCCCAGGTGTACCAGGTGCGCCCAGGGCAGGGAAGACGGCGAGCTCCCCCGCAGTCCAGGGTGGAGGAAGGAGGTGCAATCCTCCAGGGCTGAGCTTCTCAGCTTCCTACTTTCAGACTCTGAGGAAGAATGAGAATTCTATTTTAAGTTTGTTTTGCCTCACTACAGTACACACTGGAGGATCTGAACCCCAGAAGTCATCCAGGGAGGAGATGGGGAGGCAGGAAAAGAATGGATAAGTTCCTTCATTTATTTGCTCATTCATTCACTTAGCTCTCCATTTATTGTATCCTTAGCATCTCAGAATCCTATGCTCAAGCTCGTAAAGAGATTGAAAATAATATCTCCGTCACTATTCCTGACCTCATTATGCCAGCCATTTATTGAGCATCTACTATGTGCCAGGCACATCACATACACAGCAGGAGTTCTCTGAGCTAAGCACTGTCATCCTTACCAGGGGGACAATGGAGAAGTTAAGTGACACGCTCAAGGTCACCTAGCTACAACAAAGAAAGGACTCTGACCCAGGCCTACCTGACTCCCAAGGTTTAAATTTTTGAATTGGAAAATATGGGTCACAGAAAAGAATCTGACAACGTACATTCAAGATACAAAGCTAAACAGCAAAGCCAGCTCAGGACCCCGCTAGAGGAATCGCTGCTTCCAACCCGTCTGCTCCCTGCTCTCCCCACCCTGACCCATCCCAAGGTGCCAGTGTCCGCATTTTGGGTGCGTCATGCTTTTATGCTCGCGGTTGTTTTACCACGTGTGAGGTTTTGTTTCGCGTTCAGTTTCAGGTCGCTCGGCGTGGTTTGTCCCTCGGCGTGGCTCCTTCCATGGCCCACTGCCTTCTGGACCCGCCTGACGCCCACCCAGGCGATGCGCACGGCTTTGGTTTAGTCATTTCCACTGCCGTGGAACTTTGGATAGAACACGTTTTCTCTCCCTGTTTCTTGCTGGCATAAACCACGGCGTGAAGAGGAGCCTCCATCCTGCTCCCCAGCGCCCGATAGTGCTGTGTGCACACGGGGTGCGGCGCTGCGCTGCAGCCAGCGGGAGGGAAGCGCAGGCACCCACAGACCGCGCGGTCTCCCAGGGGCGGGGAAGGGCGCAGGAAAGGGCATTTCAAGGCGTGGACCACCTGGCGGGCCCTGGGCGGACTAGGTAAACGGTCGGCAGGGCAGGGCACATACTGGAGATTTATCTTGAGTCGGGCCTCCCTCCGAGGCTGGAAACACTCCTGCTGCTGACCAGCAGAGAAGAGCGAGATTCCCCTCACCCGGGAGGGCGCCTGGACTTAGGGGCTTCCTCGCCCGCCCACGACAGACTCTGGGTCTGTCTTGGATTCGAGGCTGCGTGCTGTAGGTGACCAGAGAGCTCAGTCCTGTTTTCATCACCCCTCTCTCCCTTTTCGCTCCTTAACTCCCTTCCTTCTGCCAATATTTATTTTCCTTCTTCTAAATTTTTGGTTGAGTAATCCATTCAAAGAGTTGGACATTAAAAGTGTAAAAGTACACTAAGACAAGACTTGCTCCTGCTGCCGGCTCCTCCCTCTCCAACCCCTCCTAGAAGGATAACCGCTTTCCCTCGTTTCTCATGCATCTTTCTAGAGTTTTTTTAAAATATCGAAACAAAACTAAACATGAAGCCTTATTTAAGCCCCTATTATAGAATTGACAGCATAATGCTTGATCCCACCACTGTCTTATCAAATAACAATGTGTCATGGAGATCTAGTCTACAGACCACTTAATTATTCTTTTTGTTTTTATTTATGGTACCAGGGATTGAACTCGGGACCTTGTGCTTGTGAGGCAGGCAGCAGAACCACTGAGCTAAACCCCCGGTACTTGGCTATGATTTGAAAATAGCTGTGCAATGTTAGCTGATGATGAATAGCCGAGGAGGGGCTTGGACCAAGCTGGGCCCGGGCTGCAGCAGAGGGACTCTCCTGGCTAGCGCCGGGAGCAGGGACAGCCGGCCGTCCTGCGGTTCATCGCCGCCCGTCAGGCCGGGGCGGGGTAGGAGCGAGCATCACTGGCCGCCCCGCCTTCGTCGCCCCATCTGTCCGCTGTTCCTGGATGCCTGTCCATCGCAACAGCTTGATTATCCCTCCTCGCTCCAATCCGGCTCTCTCCCGTCTTGCACTCACAGCACAGACACACAGCACACACGGACACGCACCCTGTACACTCACACCACGTTCACGGGCCACACCATGGCGCCCACCCCGCACAGCCGAGGCAGACACCCCACAGGGGGTCGAGTGAGGGCAGCCCACGGTTGCAGCTGGGCCTGACTGGTGTGGGTCGCCCAGCCCGGGTTTATCTGCTGATAAGATAATAAGATTCGGCTGTTTTTACCAAGCCCTGAGGGCATGTGGCACCCTGAGCCTGGCCTGGGCTCTCTTACCAGTAGCTGCTGCCTACTCCCACCAATCCCTGGGCTTTCGGGTGAGTACAAGGGCCAGAGTGGGAATGGGGGGCGCCGGGCCTCTGCGGCCAGGCTGCGGCTCCTTCGTGGCTTGGGTCATGGTGGATGGGGTGGATGTCCCACCCTGTCACTGGCTTCTGACTGAAGAGGATGCAGGATGTGTGGTGTAGGCCTCGGCAGGGTCCAGGCTCTGGCCTAGCAGCACCGCGTTTCCCTTCAGACCGAAGGCAGCACCGCGGAGGACACGGAAACCCTGTTTGCATAGCCTCTGTCCCACCCACTTCCCGAGCGATGACCTGTCCTCCATGTAAGCTGCGTTGTTGCCATCTTGAAATTCTTAGCTACTGGTGGACAGGGGACTGGGCGTGTTTAGTCTGTGCTGGACTCTGCCAGGAGGAGGCTGATCTTAGTTTGCCACCCCCTGTCCTTTAGTATCTTTGAATCATGTATGTTTGGCATTTTAAAAATTAAACAGTAATTTGGTAGCAGGGGATACAGTGGACCCTCGAGTTATGACCAGCCTGAAATATGAACAACTTGACTGATGACTAGAATTTTAGTTTTAACTCAGGACCAGAGTCTCCAGTTACGACCTGATTGCTGGCTGCTTGTGCTTCCACATGGCCTCAAATACAATTGAACCTGAGAGAGCCCTGGAAGGAGCGTGACAGCATCCCTTCCTGTGTGGGGTTCATTGAGAAATCCTGGGCCAGTGTCTCTCTGAGGACGCTGAGATCTGCCTGGAAGAAAGTGTGGCCTAAAATTATACGGAAGAGAGACTTTGGAGGCAACTGACCAACATGAGTTACAACCAGCCCTGGGGGACGAATTCAGGTTGTAAGTCAAGGGCCCACTGTACATTCCAAGACCCACAGTAGTAGATGTCTGAAACCACCTATAGTGACAAGACCTTTATATTCTATGCTTTTTTCCTATCCATATCCACCATGGTAAAGTTTAATTTATGAATCAGACACAGTAAACGAACAGGACAATTATAACAATACACTGTAATAAAAGTTGTATGACTATCTAGTCAAAATATCTTATGTCTTATTATGCGGTACCGGCACCCACCCTTTTCTCTGTGATGAGGTGAAATGATTCACGCCTCTGTGGTGAGGAGTGAGGGGTGGTGGAGCCCTTGTGAAATGACGTTAGGCTATTCCTTAAGCGTTGCTTGACACAAGCGCTGAACATATACTCCAGCTGACTGATAACCAAGGTGGCTCCTCAGTGACTAACAGGAGGGTAGCATACCCAGGGTGGATACACTGGACATAGGGATGATTTGTGACCTGGGTGGTGTGGTATGAGGTTTCATAACTCAACTCAGAATGACACATGAGTTAAAATTGCCCATTTCCCCCTGGACTTCCTACTTCATATTTTTAGTCCACAGTTGACTGAGTGGCTGCAATTTGAGCAGATGGACAAAAGGAGAATACTGTTACACAATGGATAAAAACACAGGACACGTTTATTAGTTGTGCCCAGTGAGAGACGGACCTCCCCACCAGGGCACTGTCTCCTCGCGCGCCCCTGCCCGGTGCCAGCCGCACACGCGCACGTGCTGGCGAGCACGAGCCGGTCAAACTCCAGTCGCTGCCGACCCTCCCGGCTCCTCCGGGCTCTTGGGCGACACCTGCTTGCAGAGCCAACACCCCCTCTGCCCGGATCTGAGCGGGACTTCACGGAGGGGTCAGCCCACCCTTTGCATGCGGCACTCAGGACCCGCGGCTCCCGGCCCCGCCTTCTGGTACCCGTCGGATTCTGATTTCCTGTCCGAATCACCGCGTGGCAGTTCTTGCGCATTTCTTCCTGAGTTGAAGGAATCGGAATTCTCGGAAGCGACAGGCGCTGCTACCCTCTGCTGGCCAAAAGGGGCATGGGGCGCAGCTGTCTTTGGAGGACGACATCCCTTCTGTCCCTTTGATGTTCCCAGAACGTAGCGAGCGGGTCCTTGCGTCGGGCCTCCGCCCCGTTGTTTCTTCCCCCTGAAATGCTCTTCCTCCAGCCCCGGGCAAGTTTCACCTCCTCGGGGAAGCCCTCCTGGGCCACCTCATCTGGTTAGCTTCTGTGTTTGTCCTCTTCTCCGGCTCTTGGAGACGGACGGGCTCTTGTCCGTTTTATCGCTGCACCGCAGTGCAATGGACAAGTCGGAACTCAAAGATACCATTGAAGGGGCAGCCACTGCACAGCACCGGCAGCACTGAGAGTTAAGGGCAGCTTCCGGCCTCAAGCCAGGCTCCCACTTGACGGATGAGCAAACTGAGGCTGGAGAGAGAACTGTGAGCCGCCCATGCTCCAGGTCCCCTCAGTCCCTGCAGGCAGCCGGGCCCTGCTGGGCGGGGCCGCGGGAGACAGGGGAGCAGCCCGAGGGGTCCAGGACCTCGCTATCTGCAGGGTGCGTTTGGGGGAGCGGGGCAGGGAGCTGAGCCGCCAGGCAGCCTCACCTGGGCCGCGCTGGGCCTCACTGCAGTCAGCCCGGCGAGTCAAGACTCTGGCAGCAGGGCCTCCGCCTCCTGGGGGGGCAGTGCGCTCGGCTCTGGGGTCCAGAGCCGGAGAGGCCTCAGCAGCACCTGCTCTTCGCCTGGCAGGGCGTGAGCTTGATGGAATCCCCGAGGAGATTCTCCAGGGTGCCTCGATACTGCGGGAGGGAGACAGTGGTCAGCGTTTGGCCTCCACGGGGGAGCTCGCCCCAACCCTGCTTCCGAAAGGCCAGGGAGGTTGGGTGAGTTCTTCCTTTCCCAGGGCACTGTGGGGAAACTGAGGCTCAGAGGGGAAGCTCCTGCCTTCCCACCTGCCCCCTCCCCACCTCCTCTGCCAGGCTCTTCCCAGAGCCCTGAGGCTGGACTCGGAGCCCCGGCCTCCAACCTCCACCCCGGGCCCAGAGGAAGAGCGGAGGTGACACTTGGGCTCAAGCAGAAATGGCAACAGCCCCTTCCCCAGCGCCCAACCTTCTCTCCTTGGGGCGCTGCCCACCCTCTTCCCCCAGCCAGTCCTCCGACCTCCCCAACCCCACCCTTCTGGCCAAGAACACCCCCGCCTTGGTGCCGGTGGGGGTGGTGTGGTGAGGGTCCCTTCTCAAGGCCATAGGTCCTAGGCGAAGGGCCTCCTCCTCCTCCTCCCTCTCCTGTTTGTCCTCCCCTTCTGCTGCTCTCCCAAGAAGAGCTAGGGCCACACCTGCTAGGCAAGTGCTCTGCCACTGAGCTACATCCCCAGCTAAGCTGCCCAGGTTGGCCTTGAACTTGTGGTCCTCCTGCCTCAGCCTCCCCGTAGCTGAGATTACAGGCCTGTGCCCGAAGGCCCGCATTTCTCCCCTTTCCCCGGTAGGGTCTAAGGGCCAGCAGCAGAGTGTCAGCTACCAAGTCAGCCTGGGTGATGGGTCTTTACGCTCAACAAAATCTTTTCCATTATGAGTATCTCAGGGTCTGCAGCTCAGCACCCAGACTGCCCAGCCTCACCCACACACAAGGCCGGGGCCCTTCTGGGAAATGTCTTTGAAAACTTTTTCTTCCTCTGTCTGTGTGCAAATTTCTACTTCACAATAAACTTCACATGGATTTGATTGTATTGTCCTTGTGTGTGTCTCTTATTGTGAAAATGTTACTTTGCCAAATTTTTTCTTATGGAATTGAATTACTTTTGCTTTATAGAGAAGGAAACCAAGGCTCGGATGGGTCATGTCGTGCCCAGGTGTCACTCTGAAGGCACAGGGCGGGACTCGAATCCAGGCCAGACTGCAGACTGGACACCTGTGACTTCCGGTCTTCGTGGTCACTTTCCTGGGTAAGCGTAGGGGGGCGGACATGAGATTGCCAATCACATCTCCCCACAAGAGGCAGTGCATGTTCCCGGGGAGCACGCAGGAGGTTCGCCCACTGAGGGTCAGAAGCCACCCTGACTGTGTAATAAGGCCACAGCGCTTCAGTGCACTACAAGATGGACACCCGCCGCGTCCCTTGCGATGTCTGGCGAGTGGGAGGGGAAGCACGAGCCGATCCCAGGGACTGCAAGACTGGGGCACTGCGGATTACCGAGAGCGAGCTCGAGCCCAGCCCGGCTTGGCCGCTAGAGGGCGCTGCCGCCCGGCCCGCCACTGAGGCCCCGCTGTCCCATCCGCGCTTCTCCTTCGCTCCGTTCATTGCTGCGATGACCTCCCCCCATATTTGAAGAAGCCCACGTCGATGGTAGGCGGACGATGCCGGGCAGGCTGAGCCCCTCCTCCTGCCCATCTCCTGTTCTGAGCCCCCAGCTCCACTCAGGACAGCACCAAAGCCCTGCTGCTACTCAGGCGTCGCCCAGCACTCTGGGAGGCCAAAGCAGGAGGACGGCAAGTTCAAGCCCAGCCTGGGCAACTCAGTGATGGAGCAAGAGCTTGTCTCAAAATAAAAATAAGTTAAAAACGAGTTGGAGGTGTAGCTCAGTGTGAAGGTCCTGGGTTCAAGGGCCAGTCCCGTGAAACCAAACAAAACGCCCCTGCTACTGGCCTCCCCTCTCCTCCACCACAGGGTAGGTGGTCAGGGTGCCCCCCCCCGCCCAAGTCCTAAACCACTGTGTGCCTGTCTCCCTCCCGAGGCTGGGGTCCCCGACTTGGTCAGTGCGGGGTACTGTGCCAGCTGCGTGCAGTCCTGCCAGCAGGCAGAGGCCTGCTTTTCTTTTTCGTGGGAGGGTGCAGCACCTCCCGCAGGCTGCATATTCCGCTAGGATAAATGCTTGGCCTCCTGGGCTTCTGCCCCGCTGTGGGGAGGGCGCTGGACCACCCCTTCCGGCACCCTTGCTGGACGTGACTGAGGAGGGCACAGGACCAGAGTTTCCAGAAGCTCCGCAGAGGCGGCTGTAACCACCCAGTGCAGGCGCAGGCACTTTGTGGTCTGTGGCTCCAGAACTGGGGGGTCCCCTCTGCAAGCACCCCTGCACCCCGAGCCAGTATGGTCTCCTCTGGGGGCTCCCACACCCCTCCACACACTCACCCTGGACAGAGCCTGTCTGGCCAGCACCTCGAAGGCTTGCACCACGTTGATGTCATTCTTGGCACTGACTTCAAAGTAGGGCATCTCCTTCTCGTCACACCAGCCTTGGGCTATCTCCTGGGGCACCTGAGGGCCGGAAGAAGGCCTCACTGTCTCTGTGCTGTTGTCACTGCCATCGCCACTGTGCTCGCTGCTGTGGCTCCCGTGTGCCCCTTCCCCGCCCCCACCAGACTCCCGCGGACACTGGTGTGGGTGGGACAGTGCTCAGGCCATGAGGCGGGAACGCAGGGGCCTGCTCCTGCTCTGGAGGCCGCATGGTCACTGTGAGAGGGAGCTGCCCCTCACCTTTGCCCCTCCTGGGCTCCCACCCACCCTCCCTGTCACTTCCCTTTGAGTGGAAGCAGCACCAGGCTCTCAGATTTCCCGGCCTCCAGAACCATGATCCCAATCAAACCTCAATTCTCTATAAATCACTCAGTCTCAGGCTTTCTGTTACAGAAGCAGAAACTGGACCGAACAGCACACACTCATCTTGGGAGGTCTTTCCACATATCTCTAA